GGCTGCTACTACACAAGAAAGTTTGTACCTTGTACAGTTATTGGGCCAGATGGATAGTGAGTGCCAATATGCACCAGTAACAATCTTTGAAGATAACCAAGGTGCAATTGCTCTGTCAAAGAACCCAGTATGTCGTCAGAGATGTAAACATGTTGACATCAGATATCATTTCATTCAATCTGCACTCAGTGATGGCAAAATAAGTATTGAATATTGTCCAACGGCAGACATGGTTGCAGATGTTTTGACTAAACCTGTAACGAAGTTCAAAAATGAAAAATTATTGGGTTATATGTTTGGAATGTAAACTGACATTTGTGAGATGTATAACTGTAAGCTAAATGTGTTGATAGTTAGGTTGAATATGACTTGTACAGTATAAGAGCAAGTGGGGGTGTTAACATATAGACTAATATGTTATAAATTGTGTTCTTACACTGGTACAGTTATGCCCTATGAGAGATGTACAACTGCGCATGTGCGAAAATAAAGAAAGGGCATTTTCCCGCGTTCTGGTTGAAACACCAACGATGAACATGTGTGTTTATTCCTCCGTTAAGTAAGCCGGTATTCCTGTCCTGAAGATGACAGCACCAACAAAACTGCACTCTTAGAAACAAAGGTTCTGGATAGAACCAAAAATGGTTCTATGCTTGCTTCATATATGGCACCATTAAGGTTCTGAACCAAAATTGGTTCCATATAGAAACCTATATGGAACAAATGTTGGTTCAGTAAAGAAGAACCCCTGGGTATCTCAAAGAACCCTACAAAAGGGCTCTATATAGAAACTTTAGGGGTGCCATATATGAAACAAGCAATAGAAGCCTTTTTGGTTATTTTTAAGTGTGGGAAATAGTTTTATGTCCATGCCAATTTTCCTGAACTAGCTAACTATATGGGATGGCACTTGGGATCTACTCTCTCTAACACTCATATCAGGTCCAATGGAGATGAAATACTGTAGAATTGATATAGAATCTCTGTGCACTCTAAAAATAAAAGGTTCCTGGAGTATCCTTTAGGGGTTCTTCAAATTGAAACTTTGGGGGAACCGCTATAAATTCTTCAAATAACCCCTTTTAATGGATCCTCGAAGAACCTTTTGAAGAATCTTTTGGGATAAATTTTTTAACTACCCCCCCTCCCAGTGGAGGCTGGTGACTTGAAAAAATGAGGAGCATGGGAGGCCCACGGTACAGGCGCAGAACGCACGGAGACGTCAAAGTGTGTTTCGAAAATCGTCAAAGAGTAATTATTTTAACCTAAAGCATTTAATAAAGACATTTATAGTACAATATTATGGGGAATGGGAATGAGAGGGCTATATACACCGTTTTGGGAAGGGATTACAGCAGTGATTGAATGAGGGTACGAGGCATGAGTTGAGGTGTTCAGAGGCTTGACTGAAACCCCTGTCAAACTGCAGTAACCTTATACTTGTTCATATGAATTATATTTAGACTAGATTAGTATGGGGATTTTCTCTACCCAGACACAGACAACAACTGATAGACAATAGAACTCACAGGGCTGAGCTTGCTTTATGCATGTTTGCATCATCCAGGCCAATGCAACTGTAGGCCTTATAAAAAAAATGAACTCCCATCACATCACTATTATGTTGATTGATTAATTCCAGTTAATAATTTTGGATTGAAAACGTTTAGGCAGCCTAGCCAGCCCAATTTTGAATAGAAACCTAATTTGATCACATTCACATTTTCTTCTGACACAGAAATGGACTATAAATACATAAAGTTACCAATTAGTTACCATGACCAAATGGACAGCTCACATAGGCTGTATGCATCTGCTCTTATTAGTAGCCTACAGTTGATCAGACTGAAAGATAGTCTCGTTTTCATCCCATACAGCATGTCAGATCTCTAATGTTTAGGTGTAGCCTAGGCTGCTGCAACATTTATGTAATGAGTTCTTGCTTGTGTCTGTCCGGAGTGATTATGTGTTATTATCTTTGCTAAATAAATCCCGGAGGAAAGTGGAAAGCCTACTTGAGCACGCGCGAAAAAATGCACTGCGTCAACCGCTGTCTTAAATCCAACTTTTAATGGATGATGCGATGGAAGCTATCAAATCATTCTGAATTGATTTCGACATCCCAGAAAAGACAGTAGAAAGTTCCATATGTTCAGCAAGTAAAGCATCGTAATGCGCAATTACTGCTGCAAGCTCCTTGTATAGTTGCACTTGTTAGCAGAACTTTCCCTCTTGTCATGTGCTCTAAAAGCCCATTCTTGCATGCCCAAAAACGCAGTGGTGTCGATAAGCTGCTTGAGAACATCCCTGTTTCTTCTTAATTTCTCGTTGTGTTGCGCAGTTTGAATACACAGACCTTCGTCATGATCGATGTGGGCATTTATATGCTCCATGCTCTTGGTTTGCCGTTTAGCTGAACGGTCAATGTTCTTCTGGTCACTGTACCCCTCTTTCGCCCAAGGCTCAGACTTTCCAAAAAGCAGGCAAGGCCAGCTTATTGCTAGTGGCCTGGCTTTGCCTGCAGGCGGCTTGATGAAAGGCTCCCTGTTAACCACCTATACGTTTGATACCAATTGGAATTGAACGCTGTAGTGTCGTGTCAATGTTGCTAATTATTACTGTTAAACAAAGGAGTCCGCTTATACTGAACTTTGATCATAAGTTTTATTCATATCACAAGATTTCAGCATAAGTTTACGGATGTCATGATCACCCGGAGAGCAGTGTCCTCCAAATTACAATGTCTGCTCTGGTCTTCTTTGTTTAAACCCAGTATTTATAATCTTCCCCAAAATATGGGTGGCTCCCTCTACTGTCCAATCCCCTGTCTACAACACACTCCCTCTGTTCTATATGGGGCGTCACACTAAACCCATTCCCTTTGACACTAAATAAACATCCTCTCAGGTTCCACTTGAAACCTTATCAAATCATAATCCTTAATACACTACAACGCCCTCACTTTTTCATCCTTCTTCATGAAACTGATCTCAGGCAGAGGTCGACCCTCGGTTTTAATTCGCACCTTTTCCGTGTAACCCAGAGAATGAAAGGGGTTCTTCCACAAAAAGTCAACAACATTTGCGGTAACTTTGGCGGCGAAATCTGCACACTCGAGCTAGTAGCTAGCTTGCTACTGCTACTTAAATTTGCAAGGCAAATTTAAATAAATTGCACTAATTTGAATTGAGTAATATCCCCAAAATGCTCAAGTATCACTTTTCAATCTCTATCCAATAATTCCACCAATTTACCCCCCCCCCCATAATGCTCTGCAGCACAACCCCAATACAACACACTGGGTTCATTCTCTGATCCTAATACTATGATTAGATGGACAGCAATGTCAGTTAATACTGCAAAAGCTTTGATTGGTTGGAGGTTATCCTCCGGAAGTGGTCATAATGACCATGTAGGTCTATGGAAGGGGGTGAGGTCTATGAGCCCCTTAGGTTTTGTATTGAAGTCAATGTACCCAGAGGAGGACAGAAGCTAAGACAACAACATAGCATGGCAACAACACATGACAACACAGCATGGTAGCAACACGACATGACAACAACATGGTAGCAACACAACATGGCAGCAGCACAACATGGTAGCAGCATAACATGGTACAAACATGATTGGGCACAGACAACAGCACAAAGGGCAAGAAGGTAGAGACAACAAAACAATATACATTTAGATCATATAAGGGACAAACCTTACCTTAAATTGAGATCTTTACATTTTTCAGTTAAGTGCCTGCACCGTCTGTCCTTTCAAATTCAATTCCAAATGTTTCAGTTGGGCAGTTAGGTTCCTGCAAGAACCCCCACCAACTAAGGAGGTTCCTCGATGAACCCCACCTCCTATGGGGTTCTTGGAATAACCTTTTGGGGGCAATTTTCAGTGCCAAGAACCCTAAGGTTCTTCAAAGAACTTTGAAGATCTTAGAAGAACCCTTGTTGAACCCCTAATTTTTAGAGTGTGGGAGATGATGGCATCAATGTGTCGATGCGGATGGCACACACCATTCAGTGGATGACCAGTTGGTTCACTACCCTTATCAGATCTGTGGAGTATGGTCATGTTCTGCTTGTGTGCTGTATATTCCACACACAGTAAAGCAACTCCGATTTTACTGTAATCAGACTTTTTACTGTGTTTTTGTCTCTTGTAATAACTTCATAACTGTGGCAGCAGGTCATGGTTCTGAAGTCTCCCGAGTGGTGCAGTGGTCAAAGGCAATGCATCTCAGTGCTTGAGGCGTCACTACAGACCCCCTGGTTCGATTCCAGGCTGTATCACAACCGGCCGTGATTGGGAGTCCCATAGGGCGGCGCACAATTGGCCCAGCGTCGTCCGGTGTAGGCCGTCATTGTAAATAAGAATTTGTTCTTAACTGACTTGCCTAGTTAAATAAAGATAAAATCATCCAACCATTGCCTCTGTTGACTGACTTTGTGTGGCAGCTTCTCCCTCTAGTGGCATTGACTTGCTGACAAGCAGGATCCTCACTTATCTTTAACCTATGATATTGGTGTTCATATGACTAACTGTAGAGCAATGGAGCTCCTTGTAAAATGCTGCTGAAATCTGACTATTTGAGGCGAATACCAGAAATAAATACATGGCTATGTTTGTAGATTAATTTCTAGAAAGCTTGTGGGAGCAGGGGCTGTTCCATAAAGAAGGATAAATGAGCCAGCTAACTGTCCAAAATACTCTGAAATAACTTCATGTTTTCGAGACATATAGATTTTAAAAAATTGCCATTATAGAATTTACTTGATAACCAACAAGCCATAATCAAGCCTAGCGTTCTAAATGGAAGTGAAAAATAGGAGATATATCTGAAAGGTTAGCTGGTTAATTTAATTAATGAGTCTGCTTTCTGGAACAAACTTCACTCTCCATGGTTCTGAAAGACTAGGCTATAATAAAAGGCAAGAAGCAAATCAAGATTGTGTGTTGTATGGGACTTAACCAATAGGAAGGAGACACAGATTAGTAACAACATAAATAAAGCTCTCTGCAAACATGCAAATTATCATCTTCTCCATGGAAATAAAAAACAAGCAACATTCACAACAATTGTAAAATATATCAATAGTGCCCTAGGAAATATATTCAAACCCACATTTCCCTTTAAATGTGAAAATACATGAACTCTCTCCTAACTTAAAAATAAAATTGAATTAATTATACAAAAAAACATGTCTTGACATAAGTAATTCCAACCTTTTGTCAGTACTTTGGCGGGAAAATTATTGGCGAATTCAGCTGTGAATGTTTTGACTTATTTCTGACTTTGTGACTTACCCCTGATGTCAAATAAAGTGACAACCTTTGCAAAACAAGCAATCCAGCTCTGCTAGCTATAAAAACGCTAAGAAAATGTCCAAATGTTCATCTATGTCAGGGTCTAACACAGAAATCCCCCCAGGTCATGCACCTGTCCTCATTCATGGTGACGTGAATGACATGGTCTTGGTTCAGCCCGCCAGCATCAGAGACCGTCAGATCAATGTAGAAGTTTCTCTGCTCCCTCATGGCCTTGAATGTCAATTCAACCACAGTTCCTGGGACAGGAGAAAAAGGGGACATATTTCAACCTTGAATGTGAAGAGTATGTTGATGTTGTCAAAGAACATGCAGACAAAATGACATACTTGGTCTGTTGATATTATGAATAAAATTCAACAGACTAATGCAGAGTGAATATGTGAAAAGCAATGAACTGTGCACCTGCAGTGCAGTTTTGACACTAAAGGTTGCAAAACCATTAAAAGACATGTCCCCCTATTTCTCACATGTTTTGTCCATTTGGGCAGTGCAATACATCTTGGACCCTTTCAGAAGTTCTACACTGAAGGGTTCAGCAAAGTTTGGGCCATCTCTGTCTGTCACCGCCAAATGCACTAGACGGGGGTCTTGGTTGCAGAGCTTCAACGGGGTGTCATCAATAGTCGGAGCATTGTCGTTTACACCTTCCAGTTCTATCAGAATGGTTCCAGTTCCAGTTGCAGGGATTTCATCTGATAACCCAAAGCAAGATACTTTTATCAAAAGGAGTAATGAAGAAGTCACAACTAAATCAACCTTGTTCCCAGGCTGAAGCCTGCTGGTGAACGATATTACAACGAAATCAAAATACCACTTTCGATTGCGAGAATGTGAACTCTGTATTTGCCATCTTTGACAAAGGGAGATTCTCTGTCCAGAGGGTGTTTGGTTTTGATCATTCCGGTCTCGCTGTTGATGTCCAGCCATTTAGCAGGATCTCTGTCCATGCGATACCTAGAACATGCAGTATGTAGCTCCTCCAGTGACAGGCATGAGGCAAGAGGCAAGAGGTCTTGATTTGAATACAGGGCTTTAATGCTGGTCAACCCGTGAGAACTGGTTTAAAGAAAGAAAAAATACATTAACAAAATAATGCCATATGCATGTCTCACACATCTGGCGTTATAATCAAGCTCATACAGCTAGACACTTTATGTATATTTTACACCAAAAAATGACGCACGTAAACACAAACACCCTCATAGCAAAATAAATAGTCAACAAACCTCATTGCTGCTTATCACACAGAGGTGCTAAACATCCTTTTAAATGTCCTTTATCTTCTTCTGTATACTTTCTTTGTAAGTATGCACTTAAACACGATAACAGTGGGAAAATAATTCGCTTTTTTGCGGTAAAGTTTTCTCGGTGCGTCGCTAAAGGCGCTCGGGTGACAACACTCGGGCGGAACCAATAATTAGTTCCGTCTTGCTGTAAACGTACAATTCAGAAGAAATTAAATAATAAAAAGTGCAAATACATTAAATAAACTGGCGACAGAGGCAGTTACACTCCCACCAAATCACAAGTGATTTCTTAAAACTTGGAGACAAACCTACTGCATGAATAAATAAAATGAAACTCTGTCCTAATAAACAACTAATAAACTGTGTGTGAGTGTATGATAGAACCATCAGTCTGCTTCTGGCAATGTAACTGTTTTCTGAATGGGTCTCTCCAGGTAAACAGGTTTGGCTGTACGCTTTCCTCTTCCATCCAGGGAGGAGTCACTGATGAGTAACTTGAGTCTCCTCACTCTTTCATCACTTCCAGGATACACCTCGATGACTCTTGCTAGCTTCCATTGGTTTCGTGCGGTGGCAGCATCTTGTAACAGAACAATGTCACCGACCTTTGCATTTCTGCGATCTTTGGTCCACTTCTGTCTGTGTTGGAGATTAAGGAGATACTCCTTTTTCCATCGTACCCAAAAGTTGTTGGTTAAGAGTTGAACTCTGCGCCATCTTTTGCGGAGGTAGAGATCCTCCTTGACCAAACTTTCCAGGAGGAGGGAGAATGATTGTGGATTTCATGGTCAAGATCTGGTTTGGTGTCAAGGGCTCTGGACTGGTAGAATCGTTCAGATGATCAGTGGTTAGAGGTCTGCTATTCACAACCGCCATAACCTCATATAGAAATGTTCGTAGGGAAGAGGAGTCAAGTTGTCTGGACGACTGTTCTAGAATGGACGCCAGGGACACTTCTGATAGTGCGGATTTGTCTTTCCCAGACTCCACCCATATGACTTGAGGCAGGGGTGTTCATGATGAACTCGCAGCCCAAATCTTTGAGCTCTTCTTGATCCATCTCTTTCAGTGCTTCAATGAACTCACGCCTTGCTCCGACAAAGTTTGTCCCTTGATCACACCTTATCTGCCTTACTGATCCACGAATGGCGATGAATGAACGCAGAGCATTGATAAAGGCATCTGAGGTCAAGTCATCAAGTGCTTCAATGTGAACTCCTCTTGAACACATGCAGGTGAGCAACAGCCCATAACGCTTTAGCTCCTTTCTTCCTTCCTTAATGTGAAATGGTCCGAAGCATTCCATTCCACAGTAAGTGAATGGAGCAGTTGTTTCCATCCGCTCTTCTGGAAGGTCTGCCATTCTTTGTTGCTCTGTGCATCTTCGGAACCTTCTGCAACTTGTGCACTTGTGAATATGGGATGAAACAAGCTTGCTGCAACCCAGGATCCATATGCCATTGGATTGGAGTTCATTTATAGTCATTCCCTCGACCTTGATGGTACACTCTCTCATGATAGTGCTTGACGAGCAATGCAGAAACATGACTGTCTCTAGGAAGTACTGCTGGATGCCTCACATGTGGATGTAGGGCAGCATTAGCTAAGCGGCCTCCTACTCTGATTACACCTTGATCATCCAGGAATGGACATAGTTTGTGCAACTGGTTGGCTTTGTCTTTGACCTTTGTCTCCTTATGATGTCTAAGGCGTTGAATTTCTTGAGAGAGAGTTGCTTCCTGGACCATCTTGATTATGGTCCGCTCCGCCTCTTTCCTTTCCTCCAAGTTCGAGGCCTCACAGGACTTTGGCTTGAGACCTTTGATTTCCTTAGCACGGCGCTTGAGTCTGGCAACAGCCTTCACCATTCTTGCCCAGTTCTGAGAACTTGTGTAGACGATCTAAAATTGTTTTTGCTTCTTCTGCCTGAGTGTCATGAACCTGAGCTTTCTTGACCTCTGGGTCACTGCTCTCGATCTCTCCCACCATGACAACTCCAGTTGGTAGCTCTTTTTGCCAAAGAAGGTCTGGACCTGTGAACCAGTTAGAAGCTGTGAGTTGTTCTGCTGTGACACCCCTTGAGGCGTGGTCAGCTGGGTTGTCTTCTGAAGCTACTGTCTCATCCATAAAGGTCTTATAGTCTCTGCAGTACTGCTCATTTCCCTTTAACTTCTTCTCCAGACATCTGAGACGGTGGGATGCCACATACCTTGTTATCTGGTAAGTTTGGTCTTCCTTTCTTGAAGGGAAGTGGCATTTCATAGTGCCCATCATCCTTGAGTCTGATGCCACTCTCCATAATTGACATGACTGGAGATACTCTTGAGAAAGGTGTTCATCTTCTGAAGCCCTTTCTACAAAATCAGATTCCAACACCTTGATGACGTCTGTTGGAAGGACTACTTCTTTGATCTGTGTTCTACAGACATAGTGCACTTCGTTTGGGAGATTTGGAAGAACTGATGTCACTTGCTCACAATGACTAGATGGCTTATTCCAAAGGCATCTCCAAAGTCAAGACATGGGTTGCCATAATAGCCGACTACACTCCACCCAAGTCTGTTCTCTGACAAAGGGCTCAATTTCTCTTCTCCAGCAACCACTTGTCTTTGGTACAAGAGCCTTGAGGAACTTTGTAGCCAATTAGTATGCCGATTCACACGCTTGCAAGGAGCATTTCATCTGCAATGTGCTCAAGATGAGACCATGCCTTGGCAGTCTCTGGTGTGGGAATATGATCTCTGTTTGCAGGGATGAATTCTCTTGAGTAAGTTACTGGCAGGTAGATTATCTTATTGGAGTAGAATCCTCTATTTGTAGATCAGTCAGCCTTCTGCTAGGCACCACTGTATTTCTTGAAGCCATTGTGGAGAGCTTTAACTGGACTGGTTCATTTTTAGTGTGAAGCATCTTTGCTGTCTCTTCAAGGATGAAGGTCGTGTCACTCTGTGTATCGAGAAGAGCGTACACAAGGACTTCATGATTTGGCTTACTTGTAGTGGACAACCACACAGGAATGACTGAGGATGTATGGGTGCCTTTAACATTCTGGATAACTCTGTTAGATGTTACCTCGCGTGGTGGTTTTGTCACCCTCTCTTGTGAACGATCTGTCGTTCCTTCTCTTGACTTGTCACTCTCCATTTCTCCATCAGTCCTTGTTGACATTCCTCTTTCTTTGCTGCGATTATCGTGTAGGCAGGTTGGCTGTCCTTTCTCACAAGTATCACAGATCCTTCTATTTTCACACTCCTTTGAGCGATGGCCAGGCTTCAGACAGCCAAAGCACCACTTAATCCCTTGAACAAACTTGACTCGCTCAGAGATGGTTTTATTCATACATTTCCAACACTTGTGTAGACTGTGACCTGACATCTCACAAAAAACACAGCTTGTGGAGAAAGCTTTTTCATCTGAGTTAGTTGCTAGTACCTTTGCTCCGAGAGCTCTGTTCTTTAAAACCTTGATCTGCTCACCTTCAGCAGGTTTCAGAGCATGGAGAGATGTTATTGGGTTATTTGCAATCTTAGCTTCACGTGTGAGAAACCTTTACAAACTGCTGGAAGCTTGGGAATGTGTGACTTTCTTCCTCCACTTCTATGACCTTTCTGTTCCATCTCGAGGTCAGCCAGTCTGGAAGCTTTGCAAGTAACTTCTGGTTCTCATTGCAGTCATTAAGTACTTCGAGGCCTCTGATCTGAGTCATAGCAGCCTCACAGCTCCGAAGAAATCAGCAAACTCTTGAAGTTCGATACTGCCTTTGGAGCTTATCTTGGGCCATGCCTCCAGCTTATCTCTGAATGCTTTGGCTATGAGGAATGGATTTCCATATCTTTCCTCGAGAATCCTCCATGCTGCGTGATAGGCTGACTCTGAACCAAGCAGGAAGTAGCTCTCTATAGCCTTTTAGCAGGTCCACCCACATACTTTCGCAAGTAATATATATTTTCTTCGGCTGGAATGTTTTTCCGATCAATGAGTGTCTGAAATGAAACCTTCCAGTCATTGAATCTGAGTGGGTCGCCATTGAATATTGTTGGTTCAGGTATAGGAAGACGACCTGCACTGATGGACTCTGCAAGTGCTCTAACAAGAACTGCTGTGCTGTCATCCTGCTTTGAATGTGCCCGGTCTTGTGGTGAAGAATGGTGCTGCAACAGATTATTTTCATGTTTAACTTCTTCCTTTTCCTTCATACAGACACTTTGATGGAGTAGACTGCTTATTTCTTTATCTGAGCACTCACTCTGATCATACACTCGCTGACGTGCCTTAGCAGCCTTTAACTTTTTAACTATATCTAGTCGCTCCAGTTGTCTCCGCTTGCATCTAGCACCTTTTGTCTCTCTGCAGCTTCAGCTTCAAGCCTTTCCAATTCCTCAATGCAACACTCTTGTTCTAGTAGTACTTCTAGAGTAGCTTCATTGGCAGCAACTTCAGCAGCGGCATCTTGTCTGCTAACAGAAATCCGACTTGAATGCCTGGAGCTGCTTTGAGCATGAGAGGACTTAGTGCATTGGGATTGATACTTATCTTGTCTGAGGCTACAGACTTGAATATAGACGATGTCGCCCTGTTGCCTCGTTGTTCATCTCCTCCACCGTTATCTGCTGTCTCCAAATGATCTTTTTGCAGTTTGGATGATCTTCCTGGTTACTGCATCACAGGTGTCAATTCTGCGACGTGTGTCATGGTCAGGGTTGTCTATGCGCCTTAACTCATCATAAGCAATGTTCAGATTCTCTGAGGCAGCACTTATTTTGCTTATGTGTTCATGTAGCAGGTTGTTTGAGCATTGTCCACTCAAAGCTTTCTTGGCGTCTTTAGCAATAGCCTTCCACTCCTCATAGCTCACAGTGAAACGGTGAGCAAATCTTCTTATTTGCTCATTGTACAGTTCTTGGCCCTTTTCTGTTAACTTTCGGTCTCTTTGGCTCTTCGTGGTTCTTGTGAGGAAGTGTGGTCATTAGCTCTTGTGCCTTTAGTAGCCTGTGGTTGCATGTCTATGCACTGCTGCTCTATACTTTCACCTACATTAACCTGCTTTCTCCCAGAGGTAAGACTAGGCTCTGACATTGTTACTTGGTGTACTTAAATTTGGGTTAAATCTAATTTGGCCTGTAGCTAAGTGATTCAGCTCCCATTAGCTATTCACATTTATACTATTTTTACCACTAATATTATTTTTTAGAACATATTCACATCTACTTCACACAAATCAATATCACGTTGTTCTATGAAATGCAAAATTCAGTCTCTTGGTTGTAGCTTAGTTAACACTTAAACATACACACAACTATACCGTATGAATATGAAGGCAAAAATGTGTCAGTCTCTTGTGGGAAATAGTTTAAGCTTCTTTGCATCAGCTGGATTCATGGTAAGGCGCCTGGATTCTTCTGTGGATGCTGCGGCTGTGTAAATGTCAGGAGCAGATGCACACTCTTGGATGTAGAGATGTCCCTTCTTGTCCATGGATCACGGCTCTTTGGTACTGTCTTCCTCGTCTACTCATGCAGAGCAGATGAGTTCTCACTGTAGCTCCTCCAGTGACAGGCATGAGGCAAGAGGTCTTGATTTGAATACAGGGCTTTAATGCTGGTCAACCCGTGAGAACTGGTTTTAAAGAAAGAAAAAATACATTAACAAAATAATGCCATATGCATGTCTCACACATCTGGCGTTATAATCAAGCTCATACAGCTAGACACTTTATGTATATTTTACACCAAAAAATGACGCACGTAAACACAAACACCCCTCATAGCAAAATAAATAGTCAACAAACCTCATTGCTGCTTATCACACAGAGGTGCTAAACATCCTTTTAAATGTCCCTTTATCTTCTTCTGTATACTTTCTTTGTAAGTATGCACTTAAACACGATAACAGTGGGAAAATAATTCGCTTTTTTTGCGGTAAAGTTTTCTCGGTGCGTCGCTAAAGGCGCTCGGGTGACAACACTCGGGCGGAACCAATAATTAGTTCCGTCTTGCTGTAAAACGTACAATTCAGAAGAAATTAAATAATAAAAAGTGCAAATACATGAAATAAACTGGCGACAGAGGCAGTTACACAGTATATTGAGTTAAAACATCGCCATTCACAAGGCTTCTTGCAATCTTAATGCATATGCATCTGATTGTACTTCATCATAAAGTGCTTGTTATATAATTGAATTGACTTATCTGCATAATGTATCTGTCTCCATTATATACCAGGGCCTCAACTCAATTTAATCAATTGAAGATAAAAGAAAGATTCATGAACTCACATGAGTTTATGTGCCATGATGTCTGGATCAATAGCTGTATACAGAACCAAGTCACTGTCCACTGGCAGGTGTTCAGATATGGAAACAACCTTTTCCACTGGGTCAAAGACAGGGGCATCATTCAGATCCTCCACATTCACCTGGACTGTGGCAGTGGAGGTGGGCAGGCGGATGGCAAATGGGACCTCATTTGTAGCGATTGTTCTTCTCAAAGTCAAGGGGCTAAACGGGAACGAGATACAGCCAGGTTCATGACACAATGACAAAAACATCAACAATTTTGTCAAATATTTGTATGGTTTGGCTTCTACGGTGGAAATTCAGACCTCGGTCAAATACATATTTGCTGTTACTTAGTTCCATTCACATACTCATCTGAAAAAAAGAAACAGAAAAACCAAGCAGGTACCTTGGCTGTAGTAATTATTCCTTCCAGTCTGCTAGGCCCGGTGGTAACAGTGAACAATCCACCTGGGTCTCCATCTACAATCCTGTACTTGGTGGCCCAGTTGGAAGAGTGTGGCTCATCTCCATCACTCACTGGCATTTTGACCACCAGAGCATTCACTTTATTCTCTGGGACAGACACCGTGTTCTGAAAAGAAAATACACGAAGAGAACATGTGAGAAGATGTGTTGTATGCCATTTATCAAGTTCATCATATTTTCCTCAAGTCAGATCCTTCAATCAAAATATTTCCCTTTTTAAGTCACCTTTACTGTTTAATGAGCAGGACTGTTTGCTGATTGTGCACTTACCGAAGACATCACAAATTGAGGAGCTATGTCATTGACGTCAGTCACCGTAATTATGGATTTTCCGATAGAGGTCAGACCCTTGCCCTCCATATCAGCAGCTTGGATTTCCAAGGTATATTTAGGAATTTTCTGGAAAATGACACCAGATGGAGCATATTGAGAAATGTAGCGGTTGAGTTAAAATTGTATGCTAGTAGTATAGCCACTAACCTTTCTGTCCAGTCCAGCAGCATTGACCAGAATCAAGCCTGTGACAGGGTTGATGACAAACTGTTAGATTAATTTGGATTTTAAGAATAATGACTAAAGGATTTTCACCCCAAAATACAGTATAAAATGTTAGAATTCATGTAGTGTCAACCCACTAACAGAGGGGGCGGGTACTAAACATTCAAGGGTGAAGGGGAAGGCGGAAACTGTTTAGAAAAGCCACCTAAAGGTGGGAGGAGTCAAGTTCAGGAGGTATTAAACCGTATGTTTGTGTTTTTGGCGTCAGAGCTCTCCCATGAATAAAAAGAAAAAAAATCCTTCTTCGTGGTTATGGACCTTGAATCATTTATGATTAAAACCAGAGCCTTACAACCTCTGGTAATGATTCAAGCTTAGGTTGAATTAGAGATAGAAATTTACATGACAGATTGGTCCTTTGAGCGGAGCTTAAATACGTCTTTATCGTTCTAAGGACACCGAATCCGTGCACAGCCGGGTGATTGCATCCGTGGAGATAGTCCTGGCCTTAGGTTATAAACAGGCCGGTGATTACTCTTATGAACGATAAAGACGTTAATGAGTTTGAAAAAGCATTTAAATCCAAACTGCAGGGAAAAGGTCAGTAATTTTTATTCATGGATTTTGGTGAAATGATTTGAACTTGTATAAGAATAGGAATTCTTGTGAAGGCAGAGAATAGTTATGTCAGGAATGCTGTAGGTGGGTGTTAGTGGTGGAATCAAGCGCAGGACACCGAAGTATAGTCCAAAAGACTTTAGTGCAATTTCCAACAAGGAAAAATCGAACAAACTTGCCCGAAGGCGAAAACTACGCACGAAGGCGACCAAAACAAAAGGCGCACTAAATATGTGCGAAAACGCTCCAACACAGTGGAGTAAAGCTCAACCGAGCGAATAAGCAATATACAAGCACAACACACGACAGAAATAAATCAATCACACACAACACTAGACAAACACAACGAGAAACTTATAGGACACTAATTACACTAAACGAGAACAGGTGTCACAACAAACAGACAAAAGCAAACGAACATGAAACATACAACGGTGGCAGCTAGTATTCCGGAGACAACGAACGCCGAAGCCTGCCCGAACAAGGAAGAGAGGCAGCCTCGGCCGAAACCGTGACAGTACCCCCCCCTTGACGCGCGGCTCCAGACGTGCGCCGACTCCGGCCTCGGGGACGACCAGGAGGACGCGGAGCAGGGTGCGTCGGGTGCCCACGATGGAATTCCGTCAGGAGAGACGGGTCCAAAATGTCTCTCCTCGGCACCCAGCACCGTTCCTCCGGACCGTACCCCTCCCACTCCACTAGATATTGGAGACCCCCCATCCGACGTCTCGAATCCAAGATGGACCTCACGGAGTACGCCGGTGCCCCCTCGATGTCCAATGGGGGCGGAGGAGTCTCACTGATCTCACTTTCTTGGGAGTGGGCCAGCTACCACCGGCCTGAGAAGGGACACATGGAAACGAGGGGTTAATACTTTTATATTCAACAGGTAGTTGTAATTTGTTAAACACACCTCGTTCAACCTTCTCAGGACTTTAAATGGCCCTACAAAACCGCCGACCCAGTTTCCGACAGGGCAGGCGGAGGGGCAGGTTTCTGGTTAGAGAGCCAGACTCGATCACCAGGTGCGTACACCGGTCCCTCACTGCGGTGGAGATCGGCGCTCGCCTTATGACGTCGGAGGGGCCCGCTGCAGGTGGACGTGTGCAGCGTTCCATGTCTCCTCCGAGCGCCGCGCCCACTCATCCACCGCAGGAGCCTCGATCTGGCTCTGCTGCCAAGGTGCCAGAACCGGCTGGGTAACCTAAACACACATTGGAAAGGGGTTAGGTTAGTGGAGGAATGGCGTAGGGAATTCTGGACCATCTCGGCCCAGGGAACATACCTTGCACACTCCTCCAGCCGGTCCTGGCAGTATGTTCTAAGAAACCTACCCCACATCCTGGTTCACGCGTTCCACCTGCCCATTACTCTCCGGGTGGTAACCCGAGGTGAGGCTCACCGAGACCCCCAAACCGCTCCATAAAGGCTCTCCAGACCCTGGAGGTAAATTGGGGACCTCGATCAGACACAATATCCTCGGGTACCCGTAGTGCCGGAACACATGGGTGAATAGTGCTTCGGCAGTTTGCAGGGCGGGTAGGAAGGCCCGGCATGGGAAGCAAACGACAGGCCTTAGAAAACCGGTCCACAACGACCAGTATAGTGGTATTCCCCTGTGAAGGAGGAAGGTCAGTAAGGAAATCCACTGAGAGGTGAGACCATGGTCGTTGTGGAACGGGCAGGGGTAGTAACTTACCCCTAGGCAGATGTCTAGGCGCCTTACACTGGGCGCACACCGAGCAGGAGGAAACATAAACCCTCACATCCCTTGCCAACGTGGGCCACCAGTACTTGGCACTAAGACAGTGCACTGTCCGGCCGATACCAGGGTGTCCAGAGGAGGGTGACGTGTGAGCCCAATAGATCAATCGATCCCGAACCTCGAGCGGAACGTACTTCCGACCCTCCGGGCATTGCGGTGGACTAGGGTCGGTGCGTAACGCCCGCTCGAGCTCAGCATCGACCTCCCACACTACCGGTGCCACCAGGACACGACTCCGGCAGTATGGGAGTGGGCTCCACGGACCTCTCCTCCGTGTCATACCGCCGAGACAGTGCATCTGCCTTACCGTTGTGTGACCCAGGGATGTACGTGATCTTAAATGTAAACCGGGTCAAAACATATTCCATCTTGCCTGGCGAGGGTTCAGCCTCCTCGCTGCCCGGATGTACTCCAGGTTACGGTGGTCCGTCAAAATGAGGAAAGGGTGTTGAGCCCCCTCAAGCCAGTGCCTCCACACCTTTAGGGCCTGTACCACGGCTAACAGCTCCCTGTCCCCTACGTCATAGTTTCGCTCCGCCGGACTGAGCTTCTTGGAATAAAAGCACAGGGGCGGAGTTTAGGTGGCGCGCCTGACCGTTGTGAAAGCACGGCTCCTATACCGGCCTCAGACGCGTCCACCTCTACCTGAAATGGCAAAGAGGGATCCGGATGCGCCAGCACCGGGGCCGAGGTAAACAGGTCCTTCAGCCTCCCAAACGCCCTGTCCGCCTCGGCAGACCACTGCAGACGCACCGGACCCCCCCTTCAAAGAGACGTGATGGGAGCTGCCACCTGTCCCAAACCCCGGATAAACCTCCGGTAGTAATTCGCAAAACCCCAAAACTGCTGCACCTCCTTCACAGTGGGTTGGTGTTTGCCAATTACGCACGGCTGACCACCCGGTCTACCTCCATCTTCACCCCTGACGCAGACAACTGATACCCCCAAAAAGGAGACCGGACTCCTGGAAAAACAGACACTTCTCTGCCTTAACATACAGGTCGTGCTCCACCAGCCTCCGCAACACTCTGCGCACCAGGGCCACATGCTCGACACGGGTAGGCGAGTACACGAGAATGTCATCTATGTACACAACCACCCCCTGCCCCTGCATGTCCCTGAAGATCTCATCCACGAATGATTGGGAAAACTGACGGAGCGTTCATCAACCCGTATGGCATGACAAGATACTCGTAATGGCCCGAGGTGGTACTAAAGGCTGTCTTCCATTCATCGGCCTCCCTGATGCGCACCAAGTTGTACGCGCTCCTGAGATCTAATTTAGTGAAGAAACGCGCCCCATGCAATGACTCAGTCATGGTCGCAATCAGCGGGAGTGGATAACTGTACTTCACCGTGATCTGATTGAGACCACGGTAATCGATGCACGGGCGTAAAACCACCATCCTTTTTCTTCACAAAAAAGAAAACTCGAGGACGCAGGGGAAGTGGAAGGCCGTATGTATCCTTGTCTCAGAGATTCGTCTATGTAAGTCTCCATAGCTTTCTTCTCCTCCTGAGACAGAGGATACACATGGCTCCGTGGGAGCGCAGCTCCTGCCTGGAGGTCTATCGCACAATCTCCCTGCCTATGGGGCGGCAACTGCGTCGCCCTCGACTTACTAAACGCAATAGCCAAATCCCCATACTCAGGGGGAACGTTGCAATGCGGGGCACCTGGTTTGGACTCTCCACCGAGGTAGCCCTACGGAAACATCGACACACACACTGGGCAGACCACTCCATCAGAGCCCTCTCCTGCCACGAAATAGATGGGTTTGGGTACTCAACCAGGGCATGCCCAGCACCACACCGGATACGCAGGCGAGTCGATCAGAAATAGCTGAATCATCTCCTGATGACCCCCTTGCGCACACATCCTAAGTGGCGCAGTGACCTCCCTGATCAAGCCCGCACCCAACGGACGGCTATCTAGGGCATGAACGGGGAAAGGGACATCAACAGGGAGAAGGGGAATCCCTAAGGCTAAACAAAACTTCTTATCAACAAAATTCCCAGCCGCGCCTGAATCTACCAGCGCCTTATGCTGGGAATGAGGTGCTACCTGTGGAAAACGCACAGGTATACAGAAATGTGCAACAGAGAGCTCTGGGTGAGTGGGGCGGCCTACTCACCTGGAAGGAATCCCCAGTGCGGGACCTGTCGTCCTCTCCCCTAGGAGGCCATCCCCAGCACCTAGCCGCGGGTGTGTCCTCCCCGACCACAGTTGGTGCAGGAGATGGACCCCCTCGTAAGCCGACCCCTCCTCTCTCTAGCGCCAGCGCCCCCGAGCTCCATGGGGCACGGCTCGGAGGCGCTGGAGGGTGAAATGGACGGACCCCCCTCGGAACGTCCGCAGGTAGCTAGCAGGTTATCCAGCCTGATGGGACATGTCGACCAACTGGTCGAACGAGAGGCTGGTGTCCCTACAGGCCAGCTCCCGACGGACGTCCTCGCGTTAGACTACATCTGTAGTGATCGATGAGAGCCCGCTCATTCCACCCTGCATCCGCCGCTAGAGTACGGAATTCTAGGGCGAACTCCTGGGCACTCCTCTTCCCCTGCCGGAGGAAACCAGACGCTCCCCCGCCGCTTTCCCCCCCGGGGGATGGTCAAACAACCGCTCTAAGCGGCGGGAGAACTCGTCGTAGGGTGATGGTGTCCGCGTCGATCCTCCTCCACTCCGCGTTGGCCCACTCCAATGCCTTCCCGGAAAGGCAGGAGAATCAGGGCGGACACGCTCTCATGTCCCGAGGGCGCCGGGTGCACGGTGGCCAGGTACAGCTCCACCCCTGGAGAAGGAATCCCTGACACCAGGCCGCGGTCCCTCGTAGGCCCTCGGAGCGAGAGTCGAACTCCTCTGGGTTCCGGAGCGGGAATGGGCTGACTGGCCGATGGTGCTGGCAGAGAGGATGGCGGTGGAGGAGTCCCCCAGCCTCGGATGGTGGTGACCACCTCCTGCAGTGCGGACCCCATCTGCAGGATCTGGTCACTCTGTTCACGGACCTTGTCCTCCAGCGTCGCCTGGGCTGCTGCGGCTCCTGCTGATTCCATTCTTGAAGGTGTGTGATTCTGTCAGGAATGCTGTAGGTGGGTGTTAGTGGTGGAATCAAGCGCAGGACACCGAAGTATAGTCCAAAAGACTTTAGTGCAATTTCCAACAAGGAAAAATCAAACAAACTTGCCCGAAGGCGAAACTACGCACGAAGGCGACAAAACAAAAGGCGCACTAAATATGTGCGAAAACGCTCCAACACAGTGGAGTAAAGCTCAACCGAGCGAATAAGCAATATACAAGCACAACACACGACAGAAATAAATAAATCACACACAACACTAGACAAACACAACAAGAAACTTATAGGACACTAATTACACTAAACGAGAACAGGTGTCACAACAAACAGACAAAAGCAAACGAACATGAAACATACAACGGTGGCAGCTAGTATTCCGGAGACAACGAACGCCGAAGCCTGCCCGAACAAGGAAGAGAGGCAGCCTCGGCCGAAACCGTGACAAGTTACCAAAATCTCAAAGGAGGTAATAATTATTACGACTGGGGAGGGTCCGAAAATGACCCTAAGTAAATAGCTATTACAAAAATAAACTAGTCCGAAATGACATGGGGTGAATGGCCATCACCAATGTAAACTAGTTAATATTGTCATTGTACGAGATGCAGTGTAACAGTATAAACAGGGAGATAATTATCATCGTGTGAGATAGATGAGTCGGGAGTAGCGTATATGACTGGGGGATTTGCTAGAACTTTGCAAATAAGTTTAGCAAATGATTGTATAAGGTCGTATATGTGTGAGAATAATCATTGTATACTCGAGGAATGTTGAGTGATTTTATGGATTAGTTATAAGGAATTAGATTGATACAAACATTATTCATGTGTTAGGACTGGGGATATCTGTATCATGTGTTGTGTGTACTACCATCTTTAGATTACTGATGGTAATTGAAGGTTAACAAAATGTATAACCAGGAGAAAGAGATTAGCTTATCTCATTGGAATGTTGCTAAGGGGAAGCAGTAGTGAAGTTAGGTCATAAAAGGGAGCTACAAAATTAAGTTGAGCCTGGCTATCTTTGATTGTTGTTTTTCAATTGGGTTTTTCAAATAAAAAAACAACACACCCAGCATGATGTTTATAAAGGGTTGTTATGTTGAATTTAGGGGATTTTCAGCAGTTCATGGGTGGTGTTTACTATGCTGTAGGATGGAACGGTTTGTTGGGGGATATTTGAACCTAAATTAATGGAATAAGCTGCAGTAATCAGAGGAATGTACAATCTAAGGCGAGACAACTATTGCCTAGATCATTGATTTAGCAATAGGATCAGGACTAGAGAAAAAATCAATTAAAAAATTAGATGAAGAATGATGAGCTTTTTGGTAAGGATAGACTGCTGTAAAGCTTGGGTACTCCATTATGTACTGCATACGGGTAAATTAAGTGATCTTATCTATGGGAAGGCAATGGCGGCCCATGGTAAAATCGTTTGGAAACTCTAGGGAGGCATACATATATCAGGGATGTTACCCAAATGGTAGAGAGGGATATGACATTGGTCGTGATTTAAAGATGATGTTTTTTTTTTGGTGGGCTATTAGAGATAACTGGGTTAATCACGAACATAGAGGTTTTTATTATTTGTTGCTAGGCAGAAGACTTAGGTGACCTAAATATGGACTTGTCATGTCCAACAATCAGTCTTCAGGTCAAGCCCGGGAGAGCCGGGGTAGAACAGAGGTTGAACTAAACATAAGTGTTTTTACAAGATAAGAGATTGATTGATTGGATTACTAATTGATTCTGAACTGAATGAAAGTCGAATTTAGCCACCATAAAGACAAAGGAAGTGGGAGGAGCAATAAAGAAGCAAAACACAATCTCAAAAATGAAAGGCATGGCAATTGGTTGATATATTACCTAAGGGAATGTTTAGGTAGGTGGTAAATATTGACACATGAGCAGAACTATGTGTCAAGAGGGGGGAAGAGGCTAATTGTAGGATTAAATAATATACGAAGGAGAGGACAAAATACTTTTTAAAAAAACAGTCTAAAAAGAGAATGCAGTCAGAAATTGTTAGATTAATCTGAACATGTGTGAAGATAGTTTATTAACCACACCCGTATGTCAAGGGTTTGTGCCCCACAGGTGAACTAAAGGAGAAGGTGACCCACTATCTAACCAGGTGACTGGTGAGCATCCAGTCACTAGAAGGAAAACTGGAAGCAGGCCTGTTGGGAAGGGCCCTATCAGGTTATGTTGGTCACCGCCTTTACCATTAGAATAGCAGAGAGAGGAACCTGGGTCCATGTTACCCACTGCAAGAAGGTAAAACCACATACAAGCACCACTTAGCACACGCAGAGTTGAAGAGAAGAACTAGACCGAATAGGGTCCGGGGATCACCTCTGTCAACGAAGATCTCCTACCCCCGACCTATCATCACTGTAGTGTGTTCTTAGGGTGTGAGTATGGGGTGGTACCAAGCAGAAGGACTAAAGGCAGGAGAGGGTTGGCGGTTTTTGGGAATATGGGTGACCCTGAGCTGCATCATAGTCTCGGCAATAGTCGTGGTATGTCAAGATCCACCACCACCTCGCACCAATTACGCTATGGCCTTACCATTATTAAGAAATAAAAGGGAAGCGACCCGACATACTGACCGTCAAGGGCGAGTGATCTACAAATAGGAGTCAGAGAAGGGTGGGGAGTAAGATTCAAAATTAGGATCAGGGATCTTATCAGGGCAGATAAGCAAGCAACGTGGGATTATAAAATCCCATTGTATTTATGTTCAGCTCCCTCGGCGGATTGTTCCTGGGCTCAGGTATTTAGACATACTGGGGGACGGAGATATGAGACGGGGGGGGGGGGGGGGGGCTGGACGTCCAGATGGAGGATAAAGAAGGTATAACGACATCCCCACGGAGATGGTAGTAACGATAGTAAGGTCACTAAAGAGGACATGAAAAGAACTTACTGGGCTTGCGCGGACGAATACGGACGGGATACTTGTCTGAGATTACATTTGATGGAGTCAAAAGATATGAGGGGCACAGGTACTGTCATTAATCCACTAACAGCAATAGACCGAGTAAATCAGTCAAGGGATGACGGAGTCAATTCGACTAACCCGTCCACTATGAAAGATTTTCTCCTCCAAGAATGGAACCAAGGGGAAGTGGAGGGGGTCCCTGATGAGAATCTCTGGTTAAAGTGGATGAAGTACACCGCTAGGGCCTTGGGAGAGACCAATTGTTATGCATGCTCCATTGGGCGACCGACAATGTTGACCGCCCCAATGCCAAGGCAATGTTTCCCTGTGTATTAGACCTGGGGTCCAATCAAAAAGAGCCAAATTGCACAGGGATTGGGGCTGGCAAAATTGACATACTCGGCCAGCCCACCTAGATTCACTTTAACTCCTGGCAAATACCAGTGTTACAGACATAGAAATGGCACCCGTAACTTGGGTGATTTTGATGGCTGTAAGGAGATAATTAATGTGACTGATTTAGATAAGGAAGGGAGGGAAAAAATTAGGAGCCTAACCATCCCTCTGACTGATGTGTGGTGGGCATGCACTAACAAAGGGAGCATTCGGCAGACATTACCAGAGGGATGGGTGGGTACTTGTGCACCAGTATTGTTGGTCCAACCTGTAAGAATTAGTCATCAAAGACCAGTGACAGGAAGAATAATCAGGAGAAAAAGAAATATAGGTCAGGAAGGAAATAGCCAATTTGGATAGATGGTATAGGCATCCCCAGGGGTGTTCCAGACGAATACAAAGCTATGAATCAAATATGGGAGGGGTTTATCACAACATTTTTCTGGTGGGTGGCAATAAACAAAAATGTGGATTGGATAAATTATATCTATTACAACCAACAACGATTCATTGACCAGACTAGAGATGCAGTAAAGGGGATCTCCGAGCGATTATCCGCCATCCCGCTCATAACTTAGAGGTTGATTCTAGATCAGGCAGAAAGGGCCGGTGTCTATAGAAAGATAAGCCATTGTTGCACATTTATCCCTAACAACACCACACTGGATGGGACAGTCACCAGAGCTCTTACAGAATTAACTGCACTAAGTGAAGGATGAACTGAACTCAGAAGTTAGTACATTGTGGATAGGGTAGTTTGATGAAATATTTGGTAAATGGAAAACCATAGCAGCCACCATCTTAGGAGCAGTCAGTGTTTGTATGGGTATTCTTGTATTATGTGGTTGTTGTCTTGTTCCCTGTGTCCGAGGATTGGTGAGTCAGGCGTTGGTGAAATGCAGTATCTAAACAATGATGAGAGATGGACTGACTCCGGACTCTGACCAGGGGAATGTGAAAAACGATCCTCCAGGCTTGGTGGATGACGAGGATTTGGACCCTGAAAGACCGCAATTGGATGAAATGTTTATTAGTTCTGATGTGATCTCTGAGATGAATCATGCTTGCAAAATACATTTATCCTGAATGTGGGAATATTTAGTCAAAGGGGTGGATTGTTAGATTAATTTGTATTTTAAGAATAATGACTAAAGGATTTCACCCCAAATACAGTATAAATGTTAGAATTATCATGTAGTGTCAACCCACTAACAGAGGGGGCGGTACTAAACATTCAAGGGTGAAGGGGAAGGCGGAAACTGTTTAGAAAAGCCACCTAAAGGTGGGAGGAGTCAAGTTCAGGAGGTATAAAACGGAGTGTATGTGTTTTTGGAGCGAGAGCTCCCCATGAATAAAGATACAGACAATACTTGTGGGTTGTGGACCTTGAATCATTGATGATTAAAACCAGAGCCTTACAACCTCTGGTAATGATTCAAGCTTAGGTTGAATTAGAGATAGAAATTCTCTTGACAGATATGCGTACATGTTTATTTCAACTGAATAAACACACAACAAAACAATAAACAAACGAAACGTGAAGTCCTAAGGTTTAACACACAACAAACCTTACACGGAACAAGATCCCACAACCCACGAGTGCCAATAGGCTTCCTAAGTATGGTCCCCAATCAGAGACAACGAGCGACAGCTGCCTCTGATTGGGAACCACACTGGCCAACATAGATCTAGACATACTAGATCTAAACATAGAAAATGCAACATAGAAAATCACAACAAGGAATATACACACCCTGACTCAACATATAAGCGTCCTCTGAGTCAGGGCGTGACAGCAACGTTACAGCCTTATTCTAAAATAGATTAAATAGTTTTTCCCCCCTAATCGATCTATACAATTTTTGCAAATGTATAACAAATAAAAAACTAAAAAATCACATTTACATAAGTATTCAGACCCTTTACTCAGTACTTTATTGAAGCACCTTTGGCAGCGATTACAGCCTTGAGTCTTCTTGGGTATGACGCTACAAGCTTGGCACACCTGTATTCCCAAAGGGGGGCCAGTATGAAAAAAATAAAAAATAAAGAATGCACTCTAACTGTAAATTGCTCTGGATAAGAGCGTCTGCTAAATGACTAAAATGTAAAATGTAAATATATTTGGGGATTTTCTCCCATTCTTCTCTGCAGATCATCTCAAGCTCTGTCAGGTTGGATGGGGAGCATCGCTGCACAGCTATCTTCAGATCTCTCCAGAGATGTTGATCGGGTTCAAGTCCGGGCTCTGGCTGGGCCACTCAAGGACATTCAGAGACTTGTCCCAAAGCCATTACTGTGTTGTCTTGGCTGTGTGCTTAGGGTCGTTGTCCTGTTGGAAGGTGAACCTTCTCCCCAGTCTGAGGTCCTGAACGCTCTGGAGCAGGTTTCCATCAAGGATCTCTCTGTACTTTGCTCCGTTTATCTTTCCCTCGATCCTGACTAGTCTCCCAGTCCCTGCCGCTGAAAAACATCCCCACAGCATGGTGCTGCCACCACCATGCTTCACCGTAGGGATGGTATTGGCCAGATGATGAGCGGTGCCTGGTTTCCTCCAGACGTGACGGTTGTCATTCAGGCCAAAGTGTTCAATCTTGGTTTCATCAGACCAGAGAATCTTGTTTCTCATGGTCTGAGAGTCCTTTAGGTGCCTTTTGGCAAACTCCAAGCGGGCTGTCATGTGCCTTTTACTGAGGAGTGACTTCCGTCTGGCCACTCTACCATAAAAGCCTGATTGGTGGAGTGCTGCAGAGATGGTTGTACTTCTGGAAGGTTCTCCCATCGCCACAGAGGAACTCTGGAGCTCTGTCAGAGTGACCATCGGGTTCTGGTCACCTCCCTGACCAAGGCCCTTCTCCCCCGATTGCTCAGTTTGGCCGGGCGGCCAGCTCTAGGAAGAGTCTTGGTGGTTCCAAACTTCTTCCATTTAAGAATGATGGAGGCCACTGTGTTCTTGGGGACCTTCAATGCTGCAGAAATGTTTTGGTACCCTTCCCCAGATCTGTGCCTCGACACAATCCTGTCTCAGAGCTCTACAGGACAATTCCTTCGACCTCATGGCTTGGTTTTTCTCTGACATGCACTGTCAACTGTGGGACCTTATATAGACAGGTGTGTGCCTTTCCAAATCATGTCCAATCAATTGAATTTACCACAGGTGGACTCCAATCAAGTTGTAGAAACATCTCAAGGATGATCAATGGAAACAGGATGAACCTGAGCACAATTTCAAGTCTCATAGCAAAGCGTCTGAATACTTATGTAAATAAGGTTTCTGTTTTTTATCAGTTTTCACTTTGTTATTATTGGGTATTGTGTGTAGATTATTTAATTCATTTTAGAATGAGGCTGTAACGTAACAAAACGTGGAAAAAGTCAAGGGGTCTGAATAGTTTCCGATTGCACTCTATATATACACTACATGACCAAAAGTATGTGGACACCTGCTCGTCAAACATCTCATTCCAAAATCATGGGCATTAATATGGAGTTGGTCCCCCTTTGCTGCTATAACAGCCTCCACTCTTCTGGGAAGGCTTTCCAATAGATGTTGGAACATTGCTGCGGGGACTTGTTTCCATTCAGCCTTGAGCATTAGTGAGGTCGGGCACTGATGTTGGGTGATTAGGCCTGGCTTGCAGTTGGCGTTACAATTCATCCCAAAGGTGTTCGATGGGGTAGAGGTCAGGGCTCTGTGCAGGAGAGTCAAGTTCTTCCACAACAATCTCGACAAACCTTTTCTTTATGGACCTTGCTTTGTGCACGGGGGTATTGTCATGCTGAAACAGGAAAGGGCCTTCCCAAAACTGTTGCCACAAAGTTGGAAGCACAGAATCGTCTAGAATGTCATTGTATGCTGTAGCGTTAAGATTTCCCTACACTGGAACTAAGGGGCCTAGCCCGAACCATGAAAAACAGCCCCAGACCATTACTCCTCTTCCACCAACCTTTACAGTTGCCACTATTAGCGTTCTCCTGGCATCCGCCAAACCCAGATTCATCCGTCAGACTGCCAGATGGTGAAGCATGATTCATCACTCCAGAGAACGCATTTCCACTGCTCCAGAGTCCAATGGGGGCGAGCTTTACACCACTCCAGCTGACGCTTGGCATTGCACAAGGTGATCTTAGGCTTGTGTGCGGCTGCTCAGCCATTGAAACCCATTTCATGAAGCTCCTGACGATCAGTTCTTGTGCTGACGTTGCTTGCAGAGGCAGTTTGGAACTCAGTAGTGAGTGTTGCAACCGAGGACAGACTGTTTTTACCCGCTTCAGGGGTCCCGTTATGTGAGCTTGTGACACATCAGTAAGGCCATTCTACTGCCAATGTTTGTGTATGGAGATTGCATGGCTTTGTGCTCGATTGTATACACCTGTCAGCAACGGGTGTGGCTGAAATAGCCGAATCCACTAATTTGGAAGGGGGGGTCCATATACTTTTGTATATGTAGTGTATTTCCAACGCTTTTTTCATAAAACATATTAATGCTCTAGAACTGATGCGCATCCAGAAATGACGGCAACAAAGCACTGGAAAACTACTTTAGGCACTCTAGAGTGAATTAGATACATTCGCTCAGAAGTGGTTTAAACTGCATTCTAGTGTCAACTTTGCTTATGAAAAACTGTATCAAGCGAAGGGTTTTACGCATGCTCAGTTCTTGGGTCTTCGAGCGCAGCGCGAGTAGAAATTTGAAATGGAAGTTATGGAACTCCCTTGCGTGCTTCTGTTATGGGAAAAAGTCCACAATGAAACTGACATTAAATGTGGAATGATACATTTGCATCTGTAGGCCATCAAGTAGCCTATTAATTTATATGCCATAGTAGGCTAGTGTAGCCTAGCATTTGATATAATAAATATGTTGAAATGACGATATCACTGGAGTCATTGCAAATCAATTTGTGCCTCTTGTGTAGCCTTCCTGACGATGGCAAACATATTTAATAAATAGCCTATAACTTCAGTTTATTGTTGTTGTAGCCTTGTGTTATTATGCAATTATTAATGGCCATGTTTAGTTAGTTAAATTGGAAGTTATCAATTGTGATCATGGTCACAGCTCTATTGCAATTGCCGATCAGCTGTTAGAATGCATTAGATTTAGTCATCAGATTTAGCTACAGGTAATAAAACAAACACTGGCTGTTGTTGACAAGCATATATTCAGTTAATATCCAGATTATGAATATTTGATCAGTGATTGAAATTACGACCCCATTTTCAGTAGCCTATTCCAGCAGGCTATTGGGCAACACAAGAACTTCTTACCTCGAAATTGCGCCTCTGTTCATGTTGAATAAATTAGTCTGTCAATTTGAACTAAGCAAGCTGCTAAATCGTTCAGTTTATATCTTGCTGACATCTTGCCTAGGCTACTGTAGGCTATCTGAAATTAGATGTAGGCCTATCAGGGGCTATAGGTTACCTGCATCTAGCTAAGCAAAACATGGCAAAGTTGAATTACAATCATAAACCCAGATTTTAGTCAGTAACATAGGCCCTATGCCTATTGAAATGACAAGTAAATCTTGCAAATAGACCGTTTATAACGGGTTGTAGTCTTAATAACTGGCACATAATAACAGCACAATTGCCAGAAAATAGCCTAACATTAGTTTTTTAAAGTTCGTCCAAGTGTTTCTTCGCAGAGTTTGCGAGATCCTCTGTCCAACTCTCATCACTCAAACTCTCCTGTCAGATTTATCATACCATCCCTACGGTGAAGCATGGTGGTGGCAGCATCATGCAGTGGGGATGTTTTTCAGTGGCAGGGACTGGGAGATTAGTCAGGATTGAAGGAAAGATGAACAGAGCAAAGTAGAGATATCCTTGATGAAACCTGCTCCAGAGCGTTCAGGACCTCAGACTGGGGAGAAGGTTCACCTTCCAACAGGACAACGACCCTAAGCACACAGCCAAGACAACACAGTAATGGCTTTGGGACAAGTCTCTGAAAGGGGATCTCCGAACAATTATCCGCCACCTCACTCATGACTTGGGAAAATCGGTTGGCTCTGGATATGTTGCTGGCAGAAAGGGGTGGAGTCTGTAAAATGGTGGGGGCCATTGTTGCACATTTCTCCCTAACAACACCGCACCGGAGGGGACGGTCACCAGAGCTCTTGCAGGATTAACTGCGCTAAGTGAAGATTGGGCTGAAAACTCAGGAGTTAGTACATCTTGGACAGAATGGTTTGATACCATGTTTGGTAAATGGAAAACCATAGCAGTAACCATCTTAGGAGCGGTCAGTGTTTGTATGGGTATTCTTGTATTATGTGGTTGCTGTCTTGTTCCCTGTGTCCGAGGATTGGTGAGTCAGGCGTTGGTGAAATGCAGTATCTAAACAATGATGAGAGATGGACTGACTCCGGACTCTGACCAGGGGAATGTGAAAAACGATCCTCCAGGCTTGGTGGATGACGAGGATTTGGACCCTGAAAGACTGCAATTGGATGAAATGTTTAATAGTTCTGATGTGATCTCTGAGATTAATCATGCTTGTAAAATACATTTATCCTGAATGTGGGAATATTTAGTCAAAGGGGTGGATTGTTAGATTAATTTGGATTTGAATAATGACTAAAGGATTTCACCCCAAATACAGTATAAATGTTAGAATGATCATGTAGTGTCAACCCACTAACAGAGGGGGCGGTACTAAACATTCAAGGGTGAAGGGGAAGGTCGGAAACTGTTTAGAAAAGCCACCTAAAGGTGGGAGGAGTCAAGTTCAGGAGGTATAAAACCGTATGTTTGTGTTTTTGGCGTCAGAGCTCTCCATGAATAAAAATACAAAAAATCCTTCTTCGTGGTTATGGACCTTGAATCATTTATGATTAAAACCAGATACTTACAACCTCTGGTAATGATTCAAGCTTAGGTTGAATTAGAGATAGAAATTCACATGACACAAACATGTTGGGACTCGGCAGTTCAGGTATCTGACATCAGAATTGGCTGAGCCAGGCTCATCTGCATCGGTGGCTGTTACCATCATGACCTCAAAGCCTGAGAAGAAAATATTTCAACATAATACATTATTTTCATGGATGACATCAAGAAAAAAATATATTGAATATTGATACATTACTTTTATCCTAAACCTCAGCTTATGATATCTGACTAAATGTTGACTGAGACACACCTGGTAGGGATGCTTCAGGGACAATCCCTGTAAAAGCATCTTGGGTGAATACCGGCTTGATATCATTCATATCAATTACTTTAACAATAATCTCTATGGGTACTTCTGCTGCACCCGAACCAACTGCAACAGCATGAGCCACAAGCTAAAGGAGAAAATATATAATAATTTTATCAAAATAACACATGCATTCAAAGTTCTAGAATTCAAAAGACAAAACACAAACAGACTTTACCATATATTTGTCTTGTTTACAAACATTACCATATATTTATCTTGTTTACAAACATTACCACATAATGGTCTTGTCTCTCTCTGTCCAAAGGCTGGGTCACATAGAGAACCCCAGAGTTTTTGTCCACAGTGAACAGTCCCACAGGGGGTTGATCTGCTCCAGGACCAGTGATGCTGTACTGGATCTTCACCTCTTTATCATTGCTGGACCTGATCTGAATGTAAATATTAACAATGTTAAAACCAGAGCAAAATCCTGAACCAACCATATTTCCTGCCAACATAAACCTACAATCACTCACCTGCACCATATCCTTGGGGAAGGGGCCTCTGTCGTTCTCTGGGAAGTTAATGGGAGGAATGATCCAATCCCTTTTCCTTCTCACCAGACCTACCAAAGACTTTGGAAACTCCAGAACTGGAAGACTTGCAGGATATTTAGGCTGTCTGAAAAATATATTTACAAATTAGAAAGATAAGACCATCCCAATGGCACTTATGCAAATGGATGACAACAATGATTAGTTATTGAGGAATGAAACGGACATTAAGTTGTAAGATCCACATTCTCACCTGAGAGACAATGCCAGCATCCTCATTGCCGAAGCCCTCTGTGAGGAGATCAAATGAATATTAACACTTTTAAAGCAAACAATGCCACTACAGTATGTTGCTACTACTCTGCATAATGCATATTAAAATAATCTTGATTTGACAAATCTCCTTTATTAGCCAATATTCTAAACAGTAAAATAAGTCACCCTCAGTTTCTTCCCCTCCTGTCAGTGGATAGTCAAAGCCATTGCCTGACTTTAAAGTCTCAGACATTCTCCCCAGGGCCCAACCCTGAGGTTTGAAGGAAAACAAATATTGTAAACATGATCTACACTTCCCTTCATATGTTATTGTACAGTGAAGTGAAACGTTTTTATTTGGCTAAACACTCCAGCCTTTTACATTTGAGAGAGAATGTTTCATATTAAGTGACAGTTCAGAATGCCAGCTTTTATTTGAGGATATTTTCATACACATCTGTCCCACCGTTTAAAAATGAAAGCACTTCATGTATCTAGTCCCCCCATTTGAAGAAGTCATAAGTATTTGGACAAATTCACTTATAGTGAATTAGAGCAGTCAAAGTGACACTACAAACTAGATGGATGAATTTGAGGTGTCTTTTGGATAATGTTTTGCCCAAAGGAACTGAAAATATGGCTAGGTTGTAGAATCGAAAGATCATTTAAATACGTGGGTGCTGGTTTTAGGCCGGTAGCAACAGGCTTGTGTATTAAAGAATGGGCTATACACTGTAGCAGGAAATGTGTGTTCACATGGCAATAACCAACAGAGGCTATGGAACTTGTTGACATGGTAAACTTAGTAAATATAGTAATGTAAACAGTGCAGTATTGTAAGTACATCTACACAACACAAGCACACCCCTTTCCTGCAGTCAAATGGCCAAATCGCCCTCTAGTGGCCTCATGGGTGGAATGTTAATATTTTTCATTATTTTATCATTAATAAACAATGTTTCTGTATCAAACGGTTTTGTTATATTTCAGTCTTCTGTGATGTGTGGTCCTCTGTAGCTCAGCTGGTAGAGCACGGCACTTGTAACGCCAAGGTAGTGGGTTCGATCCCCGGGACCACCCATACACAAAAATGTATGCACGCATGACTGTAAGTCGCTTTGGATAAAAGCGTCTGCTAAATGGCATGTTATTATGTATATAAAGTGTAATATTGGTGAACAGGGAACTGAGGGCTAAGATGCTCTGGACCTACTGGGACTATAGGGGATATAGACTGAGGACCTAGTAGGACAGAGGGTGAGGTGTCACCTACGACAGGATACTGAACACCTCCGTGAGGAGGGTCCTCCACGGGGACGTCAGGCGGGTCTTCCACGGGGACGTCAGGCCGGTCTTCCACGGGGACGTCAGGCGGGTCTTCCACAGGGACGTCAGCCGGGTCTCCTAAGGCTGGAACTAGCAGGACACAGATCAGAGGGGCTAGCATAAACCACAAGACTTGGACAGGCAGGTCACACCAGACAGGGGCTGACAGGGCCTGGACAGCAGGCATGGACCGAGCCACTGCAGCAGAGATTGGATGGGGCTCCCAGGGCGTCTTTGGACAGCAGCAGAATGGATGTCAAAGGTTGGACTAGGTGGTTCCCACCAGACAGGGATCGGAGAGGTCTGAGTGGCAGGGCTGGCCTTCTGCAGCTGCAAGCAGGACTCCCATATTATGGACCAGCTGACATTCGGAGGCATCGGTTGGAGCACAGTGGTAGGGTGCTCTCCCAGGGTGAGCTCAGGTAGCTCCTCTGTTCATAGATAAGGCTGTAGATCTTCCTGCTCCCGATCGGGCAGGGAGGTGTGGATTGATCTTGGGCACAGAAAAGGGGTCGTCAGAATCTCTGTCGCTGGAGACAGCGACGTCACCACTGTGGGAACCAGTTGAGACTGCGGCAGTAGCTTGTTGGAGCACGGTGGGGTGCTCCCCCAGGGTGAGCTCAGGTATCTCCTCTGTCCCTGGAGAAGACTGTGGAACAACTGTGGAGACGATTTGAGACTCTGTGGAAGGAGCTGGATGAAGCACAGAGGTGGGAGTGGCAAGCTGAGGCTCCATGGCAGGAGCGTGTGTAGTAGGCCCACTACTATCTTGAACTCCATGGTCAGAGCAGGCTAGATCTTCACGGCTGGGGTCGGCTGGAGCACAGGGGTGGGGTGATCCGCCAGGGTGAGCTCTGGTAGCTCCTCGGGCCTGGAGAAAGCTGTAGCACCACTGTGAGGGAGTCCATAGTAAGGGTTGGATCCGAGACCAGGGCTGATGGTGAAGCTCATGTGGGAGTTGGCCGTGCTGGCGCTGCAGAACCTCAATCTGGCGCTTCTGTTGTAGTATCTGTTGCATGACAACCTCTGAGATGATGTCATGTTTTTGGGCAGCTTGGTGGCCCAGGTCCCTGTTCTCCCCCTCTAAGACACCTTTCAGTTGTAAGAGGAGAGAACTGTTGAAGGACTGGCTGAGATGGTCAAGTGACAATTGGCAGTGTCCATCAGGTAAGTACTGGCGATGGTGGTCGGGTGGACTGTAGGAACCTTCCATCTTCCTGACTGCTTCAATGAGCTCATCTATCTCGTCACGCTGGCTGTGAGAACACAGTGCGGAACCCGGTGAATTTGCAACCGATGAAAAGGCTGAGGCTCTGTCCTCTATTCTGCTGGTCAGCCTGGGTGGGGACTTGGACCGGTGATGAGTCGTTGAAGGGGAAGATGGCCATTTTGAATGCAGAATGTCTCGAGTGCTCAAGAGAACCCTCTAGCTGCTCTCCCTCGTAGGAGTGGTATGTGGATGTGTGTGGTAGTCTGTTCCTTGACTCGTATCCAAGCCATAATTATCAAGAGATTGTGGCAGGTGAGCTGGTCGGCGAGGATGGATGACATCTTATGGAGGATCTTCTCTGTTAACTGGCATCCTTGGGCTGTAGCAGTTACTGGATCGGGCTCAAAAGGACCATGACAAATTGGTGGGAAACGTAGGTGCTGGTTTTAGGCCGGTAGCAACCACCACAGGGTGTCCATCCAGAACACGAGGAAACAGTATTTCAGTTTCAAGAGGTTTAATTAATTATCCACACTCACAAATCCAACACCACTCTGACAGTAATTGTGTCTAACAATGATTGTGGTTCTGAAAACAAAGAGGTAAAACTTAGACTATAGTACTGATATGCATGACATGACTAACAAGCTAGCACAGGCTTGTATATAAACAGCACAGGCTATACCACTGTAGCAGGAAATGTGTGTTCACATGGCAATAACCAACACAGGCTATGGAACTTGTAGAAATAGTAAATATACTAATGTAAACAATGCAGTATTGTAAAGACGTCTACACAACATTAACACATTAACCATGAAAGATATACACAGAAAATTGTCAAGCAGCACACGTGAGAAATGCGGTTAATCGCTAACAGGAATGCAAAATACTAATGCATTCTGAATGGAAAATCTAATGCTAACGCTAGCGGGAGCATGAGCTAGCTAAAAAACTCCACATAAATGGTGATTACAACAATAGGCAATCTTGAGCTCCGAAAACAACAAAACATAAACATCTTAAGGCACTTACTTTTAGATGCAGGCACAGTAAAATATCAGACAACAAATGTGTTGTGACCACAGGAGGCAGAGTAGTAGGAGTCCTCGTCAGGGTAGGGAAAACACGTTTCTGACATCTGGCCTGCCCCTGCTGGGGTCCTACTTGTATTTATTTTTATTTCACCTTTATTTAACCAGGTAAACCAGTTGAGAACAAGTTCTCATTTACAACTGCGACCTGGCCAAGATAAAGCAAAGCAGTGCGATAAAAACAACAACACAGAGTTACATATGGGGTAAAACAAAACAAAGTCAAAAATACAACAGAAATAAATATATATACAGTGTGTGCAAATGTAGCAAGTTATGGAGGCAAGGCAATACATAGGCTATAGTGCAAAATAATTACAATTAGTATTAACACTGGAATGATAGATGTGCAAGAGATGATGTGCAAATAGAGATACTGGGGTACAAATTAGCAAAATAAATAACAATATAGGGATGAGGTAGTGGGGCGGGCTAATTTCAGATGGGATGTGTACAGGTGCAGTGATCGGTAAGGTGCTCTGACAACTGATGCTTAAAGTTAGTGAGGGAGATAAGTGTCTCCAGCTTCAGAGATTTTTGCAATTTGTTCCAGTCATTGGCAGCAGAGAACTGGAAGGAATGGCGGCCAAAGGAGGTGTTGGCTTTGGGGATGACCAGTGAGATATACCTGCTGGAGCGCAGACTACGGGTGGGTGTTGCTATGGTGACCAATGAGCTAAGATAAGGCGGGGATTTGCCTAGCAGTGATTTATAGATGGCCTGGAGCCAGTGGGTTTGGCGACTAATATGTAGTGAGGACCAGCCAACAAGAGCGTACAGGTCACAGTGGTGGGTAGTATATGGGGCTTTGGAGACAAAACGGATGGCACTGTGATAGACTACATCTAATTTGCTGAGTAGAGTGTAGAGGCTATTTTGTAAATGACATCGCAGAAGTCAAGGATCGGTAGGATAGTCAGTTTTATGAGGGCATGTTTGGCAGCATGAGTGAAGGAGGCTTTGTTGCGAAATAGGAAACCGATTCTACACTGAATGTCCCGGGAATTCTATTGTTGATAGGCTGACATAATACTGATTGGTGTGACCTTGACCAATAAGAACTAAAAGAAGTTGGGTCTTGTGAATTAGGAGACTAGGAGATGGCCGTTTTTACAGGAACTGAATGGTGAATAATGTTTTGTGCCATTTTGGAGTCCATTTTATTGTAAGTAAGAATAGAATAGTTTCTGAATACTTCTACATTCATGTGGATGCTACCATGATTATGGATAATTATGAATGAATCTTAAATTAGAAAAAGGTTACAGAGGCACAAGGATCATACCCCCCCCCCCCCCCCCTCCCCCCCAAAAAATAATAATAATGCTTATCTACCGTGTTATTGGTAATGATGAGAGGTTAGCATGTTTTGTTGTAGCCTCTGAAAGGCATCTTACTCATCATTATTCATGATTTATTCATGATTTTTCTTAATCATGGCATTATCAGGACTTATTTTGAAATGTTCAGAAACATCTTAGAAGGAAATTATTCCAGTCACCATTTACCATTCAGTTCCTATTGTGCGAAACATAACCCAAAACACAACAAAAACAAACTGCAAATGCATCCAACAAATTTGTAGAGTCTCAAGCTTGATGTAGTCATTGAGTGCAAGGAATATGGGACCAAATACTAAACTTTTGACTACGTTGATACACTATAAGGGAATTTGTCCAAATACATGACTTACTCACATGGGGGGGGGACTAGATAAATAAAGTGCTTTCAGTTCTAAACTGTAAAACAGACGTGTATAAAATAAAAACTCAAATAAAAGGTGACATTCTGTACTGTCGCCTCATATGACACATTTGATCTCAAATCCAAAATGCTGTAGTATAGAGCCTAATTTAAATTTTATATTTAATGTCCAAAAACATATGTAGGGGAGGGTACTTCACATGTCACACCAAAGAGGTACAGTATATGATATCATATACATGCATCTTCATATTTATAAATGTTGTTGTAAAGTATATACGCACAAGATATTGGATCATGCACTTGCGTGCCCCACATTCAGAAAAGAGTAAGAACTTAACAACATATCTTATTAAGCAAAACAGTCTTTTCATTTTTTGATTTTATTTTCTAGTGAACATTAAATTATAGACCTATTCGTTAATCAAATTTAGCCAGTGCTCACCCAGATCAAGAAGATGGTGATGTGAGATGCCAATAGTAATTTCAACAACTGATCAACATTGGTGGTCCTCTGTAGCTCAATTGGTAGAGCATGACGCTTGTAACGCCAGGCTAGTGGGTTCGATCCCCAGGACCACCCATACGTAAAAATGTATGCACACATGACTGTAAGTCGCTTTGGATAAAAGCGTCTGCTAAATGGCATATTATTATTATATTAAAAACATGACAAAATAACTCAATTTGGCTAAAGTGACACTTCTCATCAACCAGTTTTGTATTCAGTGTCAGTTTGTCACGCCACAACTTCCTGATCGAAACTAGAAGTGACACTCTTCAAAAGACCACCACATGGTTATGAAGAATGGATGCATGGACTGAAAGATATATTGCAAAACTATCACTTCCACAGTATTGAAAACTACTTAAGTGTTATAAACAAGGCCTCAGGTCTATAAACTAATGACTGGACAAGCAGTCATATGAAGGGCCATGATCAGTAGGGCACAACAATGTTTTGAAACAAAAAGCAAAAATGACACTGTCTTGCAGTCTAGGTAAAAAAAAAAAATTACCAAGAGAGTAGACACATCTGTTGTGCATGTTTGCAGATTCAAGAGTTGTGTGGTAGTCACAGCCCACTGGGTACACCACGCAATTACAACGGGGATAATTGGGAAATATTTGGTTGAGATGTTGATCAATGCGATTACAACCTATATTCACCCACTCAAAAAGACAGCCAAAAGTTAGTTACATTTCCAATGTGTTATCACTATGCTTTCAACCATTTTTAAAAGCACAACCAAATTCCAATGGAAAAACAATGGCAGAGTTTTGGTTCGGAGTTCACCCAAATGTCTATCATTGCGCTTTTGTAGTGTCTAAAAGACACACCTTTGCTGGTCCATGCCGTGATGATAAGGAATCCGCCGACACTGTACTCTGTTTATAAAGGTTTTTTATAACAAAGGGTATT